GGCTGGCGCGCCAGGGCACTGGCGAGAGCGCACCGCATGGGACACGAGGGACAGGGAGAGGGGTCAGCTGGCAGCCAGCCCATGCCGGGTAACGCGGGCTCCTGCCGCCTGGCTGAGGACCTGGGATCTCCACGAGGATCTGACCATTGTTTAGCTGATTGATCACCCAGCGCTTGCCTTCAGCACCCGCCCTTAAACCCACGCCTTCTTTCGAACCCTCTGTGCCTGGGGAAGGGTTAGTTTGAGGAATCGCACGCCAGCTGGAGAGAGGAGCCAGACTTGTTTCTTAGCTTGTTGGTCTGTGTCCCCCCCGCCACCTCCAGTTTCCCCTGGAAGGGGGAAGAGGAGGTGGCTTCCTCATTCTTGGGTCCTCAGATCCCTACAGGAGCTCTGGGAACCTTTCACCCATTCATTCATTCAACCCATATTTATTAAGCACTGGCCACGTGCTGGGCACCATCCGGGCGCTCGGATAACCAAGCTGTCAAGCTCGTCTGTGTGAAGAGACCACCAACAGGCTTTGTGTGAATAAGGCTGTTTATTCACCTGGGTGCAAGTGGGCTGAGTCCCAAAAGAGTCAGCGAAGGGAGATGGGGAAGGGGTTGCTTTACAGGAGTTGAGCAGGTAATGGAAAATTACAGTAAAAGGTAGTTTTCTATTAGCAGAGGAAGGGGTCACCAGGTACACGGTGGGGAGATCATAAGACTCATTGTCCAGAAGAAGAATGTCACAAAGTCGATTGATCAGCTAAGGTATGGCAGGGAGCAGTCACAATGATAAAATGTTGTAATGTTGGTTAATCAGTTAAGGCAGGAACTGGCTGTTTTACTTGTGTTTTTTTTGGCTGCTCCAGGCTTCTTGGCTCCTGCAGGCCACCTGGATGTGTATGTGCAGGTCACATGAAGGTTATAATGGCTGAGCTTGGACTCAGAGGCCTGACACAAGCTATTCATTGTCTTGTTTTCAGAGTACAGGGAGAAACAGCCATCAGCAAAACAACTACACAATTTGGTGTATAATTGCAAGTAAGACCCTACTGTGAATGACCAGAAGATTCCAAAACCAAGACTGCTGCATGGTCAGGGAAGTGTCTGAAGAAGTGCCCTTACTTGAGCTGTAGCCAAATTTAGTTAACCCAGCAGTCATCCAGGCAAAGGGAAGCACGCGTGCAAAGGTCCTGTGGCCAAACTCCAGGAAGAGTTCAAAGAGTGGGAGCTTGGGGGACAAGGGTGAGATTGGGGTGACATCAGGCAAAAATGGTGGGTAAGGTCCAGAGCCTTGCAGACTGTGTTTAGGGTTCAAGTTTGTACCCCAAGAGCAATACAAGACATTGAAGGGTTTCAATTATGATATGCTAAATGGATAAATGGATGGCTAGATTCTAAATAGTGCCTAGTCCTTGGGAGCAACCACTGCACTTTATTAATAAATATTAATTACCACATAGTTGAAGAACTGAAAATGATGAGTAGCTGTCAAGTCTTGCTGGAGAGGACTTGGAACAGGGCAAAACAACAGAGTTGGCCCTCCCTTCTCCCACATCCTCTGCCCTTTTCTTCTTCAACATTTTAATACAAAGAGAGTTGGATTAAAACAAATACCAGGGCCACTTGGAGGAGTTGTTTGTGACTTTTTGTATGCAAAACTTGTTTGGGTTTTTTTTTTTCCTCCTACTTAAGGAGTCACTTTCTTCTTTCCTTTTAGATTTCTTCCTTAAACTTTCCCCCAGTGCTAGGTAGGGACACTATGAACACACACTGTGAACACACATTATGTACATTTACTCATTGACTATTTGTGGAAAGCTTTCTATGTATTAGGCACTGGGTAGGGAAAGGAGGTGAGCTACAATGGTGAATAAGAAAGGTCCCTGTCCTGCTGCAACTCACAGTCTAGTGGGAGAAACAGAAAATACCTACCTACATAGACAACCAAATTTGTGACAGTGTCCTGAAGGAAACACATAGGCTGACATAGCAAAATGGGCACCTATTTAGAACAGATTGGAGATAGCAAGAGTGGAAGTAGGCATATCCCATAAGGAGACTATTGTAGGATGATTGCAGAGGATGTGGAAGCTTGGGAAAATAGAGATAGACTTGAGATATGCATGGGACATATAAATAGTAGGACTGTTTGATTAATTGGATTCCGAATCTATCGGTAAAGAAGAGTAAGACACCCAGCACTCCTGATCCTGATCACTTGGAGTTTGCTTGCTTAGTAATGTGTTTGTTACTTTCCCAGAGCACTAAGCTAATAGATAAGAACTGTCATATCCTGTCACAGCCATCACAGCCAACTGAAACAAAGCATGGACTCATCAGCACTCAGTCAATGCAACAGTCCATCACCATTTTAATCAACAATTTTTGATTTTTTCACTCATTAGTATACTCTCATCCTTTTGACATTCAACATGTATTTATTTGTTTACATATCGTGTGCCAAGTTATGAGAGTTAAGTGATCACTGGATTGACATAGAGGGAACGTTTTAATTCATCAAGCTATTCAAAACAATTCTTTCATATGAGCCTAAGATTCCAGAGCCTAACTGCTATACTAGGCTGCTTCTCAAATAATATAAGGAAGAAAGGGAGTGTTGTCACAACAGAGGAACAAGTCATTGAAGAGTAAGTAGATGAATGCTGATGACGGAACCTGTCATTTGGGTTGAGGTGTAGTTATCCATTCAGTCAACAAATATTTTAGCAAATGATTAAAGAAAAATACATTTGGCAGAAGCATCAGCTTTGTTCCTATGGGCCTGGAATTGGCTAAATATGAGTGAATAATACATATATATGTTTACAATAATTCAACGAAAATGTATCAAGCACCACAGCTGTGGCAAGTCCTGGGGAAGGAACCAGCACAGTCCCTTTGAAGATCTGGGATTCCACTGATGGGTATGGTTCCTCTTTCTACTTCTCAACTCTGATGAAGAAATAAGAAGGTCACAGGCCAGAATGCCTCAACAATAATGAAAGGCTACTCTTGGAACTGAGAAATAAGAAATCTTTTCTTTGTTTTATTTATTTCTTCCTGTGCACTTTACTATAACTAACTTCTACTTGTAGAAAGGTGACAATGTCTTTCTATAACATGATGTTTTACTGTAACTTAAGTAAAAATGTTCTCATTGTCAGGTTAAAAAGGAAATAGTATTCTGTTAGTATTCTGTCTAGACAGAGTCCTTAGAAGGGATGGTTTAGGGCAAAGGTCATGGTTCTGATTTTCATAAGATGCATTAATCATAAAAGTAAGTATTCTGTCTCTCTGTCTCTCTCTGTCTCACACACACACACACACACACACATAAACACACACCACTGACAGCAACCAGCTCTGGTTAATGTCTCACGTGTCCGTGTGAAGAGACCACCAAACAGGCTTTGTGTGAGCAACAAGGCTGTTTATTTTACCAGGGTGCAGGCGGGCTGAGTCTGAAAAGAGAGTCAGCAAAGGGTGGTGGATTATCATTAGTTCTTATAGGTTTTGGGATAGGCGGTGGAGTTAGGAGCAGTGTTTTCCAGGCAGGGGGTGGATCTCACAAAGTACATTCTCAAGGATGGGGAGAATTACAAGGAACCTTCTTAAGGATGGGGGAGATTACAAAGTACATTGATCAGTTAGGGTGGGGCAGAAACAAATTACAATAGTGGAATGTCATCAGTTAAGACTATTTTCACTTCTTTTGTGGATCTTCAGTTGCTTCAGGCCATCTGGATGTATACGTGCAGGTCACAGGGGATATGATGGCTTAGCTTGGGCTCAGAGGCCTGACATTCCTGTCTTCTCATATTAGTAAGAAAAATAACATAAAATAGTGTTGAAGTGTTGGGGCAGCAAAAATTTTGGGGGGTGGTATGGAGAGATAATGGGCGATGTTTCTCAGGGCTGCTTCGAGTGGAATTAGGGGCGGCATGGTACCTACAGTGGGAGAGATTCAACTGAAGAAAGATTTTGGGGTAAGGGGTGATATTGTGGGGTTGTTAGAAGGAGCATTTGTCATATAGAATTATTGGTGATGGCCTGAATGTGGTTTTATATGAATTGATAAACTAAATGAAAGACACAAGGTCCGAATTAAGAGAAGGAGAAAAACAAGTATTAAAGGACTAAGAATTGGGAGGACCCAGGACGTCCAATTAAGAGTGCCCAAGGGGGTTTAGCATAATTACTTGTTTGGTTGGTGAGTCTTTGGGCTCTATTCTTGACAGAATCCTCTTTTTTAAGTTGAAGGCTGAGCTTGGTGAGGTGGGTTTTTAAAAGACCATTAGTCCATCCTACCTTTCCTGAAGATTGAGGATGGTAAGGGGTATGAAGGTTTTACTGAATAGCAAGAGCCTGAGAAACTGCTTGGGTGATTTGACTAAGAAAGGCTGGTCTGTTATCAGACTGTATAGAAGTGGGAAGGCCAAACTGAGGAATTATTCTGATAAAAGGGAAGAAATGACCAAGGTGGCCTTCTCAGACACTGTGGGAAAGGCCTCTACCTATTCAGTGAAAGCGTCTACCCAGACCAAGAGGTATTTTAGTTTCCTGACCCGGGGCATGTGAGTAAAGTCAATTTGCCAGTCCTGGGCAGGGGCAAATCCCCGAGCTTGATGTGTAGGGAAGGGAGGGGCCCTGAACAATCCCTGAGGAGTAGTAGAATAGCAGATGGAACACTGAGAAGTGATTTTCTTAAGGATAGATTTCCACGATGGAAAGGAAATGAGAGGTTCTACGAGGTGGGCTAGCAGCTTGTAACCTACATGGAAGAGGTTATGAAATGATGACAGAATAGAATAGGCCTGGGAGGCTGGAAGGAGATATTTTCCTTGGTCCAAGAACCATTTGCCTTGTG